TAACCAATACTGAATCAGCACGACAACTTTCGGTGTAGACCCCAGTACAAAACCTGGTCGAAATCGTATGGGTAGGTACGTATATGAAACATGATGACCAGCGAACAAGCATGACCTGTCCACTACGAGCTCACACCAATACTAAATTGTAAAAATGTCTATGAATGAAATTATCATTATAATTTGTACCAACGTAATAGTTGTTCTTCAGGGGCCTTGTTACTACCTACTGCGATGAGCTTCGAACATGACGATTCACTGGATGATGAAATAAACCATTACAGACAATCTCCTTCACAGTGAGAAGCGATATAATTCACTCAGCGATATAGCATAAAAGTTGTTTTCGATGCATATCGCCTGTCACTGTACGGAAATTTTAAAATCGATATCGTAGTCGTTCCGCTGTGAGCTCTTCATGTACATGTTATTTCTGCAAACAACATTTGTCGAAAATCGTCTGTTGCTTGTTGCTACTTGCTTCGTCGTGGATCCTGCCTAATTTTAAGAACGCATATTAATTTTGAAACTGAGTAATAGGCCTACCTTCATGCGAAATTTCTGATATTAGTTTAACTTTTTAATGCCTGAGAATTGTGTGATACAATTTAACATACAGTACGCTTGACATAGCCAAGACCCGGCATGCCAACCTCTGGGGTAAGTCCCTGTCAAGTGGAAAGGCCAAAACAGATTTCGTACTCTTGCCATTGTCTTCTCTGACACAACAGTCGACCCTATTTCTTATATGTATAGACATTACTCCAATTTGTTTACACCCATCAGTCCGCCTGTGCGTCTACCCAGTTATTACCATCCACCCATCTACCTACCTGTGTGCATATACACCCATCTCCCTTCTGTCTATTCGAGGGGTTCTCAACCATCTTAAGACATGGGTTTGTATTCCTCTCAGTTATCGACACGCAGGCCATCAAGTTATGAATGACGACAATATATACTTTATATAAATTTATTAAAAATCCTTTATACATGTTAACAGTCATCATCATCATCATCATCATCATCTACTACAGGGATTGGGCCCATTGGCCCGTTCCGGAAAAGTTGCTTAAGGCAACTTGTCTTTATTAGTCGTTAACAGTGTTTTCATTAAATCAGTCATCAGTCAGATATTTAACACTGTTCTAGCTTAAATAATATTGTTTCTGTGAATCTCTTGCGTCCCTCCAAGTGTTCGTCAGTAAGACGCGTCGTAGATCTTGATCTTAACGTTTTTCATTAAGCCGAACAGTTGCATAGTAACTGGCAAATATTGACGTATTGACAAGATTCCGTATACGGTGACTATTTTTTGTCAGAGTAAATGTTCGTGGGCGTCGCAAAACACATTGACGGATCGCTGCCCGCAAATTGGGGGTACAGAACAATTGGTCTATACGTTCATCATTAAATCTATTTACCTTTCCATCTATCTGTTTATTCGCTTACCCTTTCATGCATCCAGGGATCTGCGAACCAGTTTCAGCTTTGGTCCTCCATACTGGAGCGGGCGGTACACTCTGGGAGACGTAAAGCACAATATGGATACTAGAATGTCCAAGTTGACAGACCGACTGAAGCTTAGAATTGTAAAGAAGGAAGGTGCGGAGTGTTGACTCTTCTTATCATCAGGTTCCTTTTGTAAGGGCTGCCGCTTCTTCTGGTTGTGGAGTGACATCGATTTTCAATGCAGCCCCACCACATTCAGACAAAAGGCTTTTCCGCAAGGCGCAGGTTTTGGCTTCGTTTTTGCAAGCGCGGTTACAGTTGTACAGCAATGAACAGTACATTTCAGTGAATTGATTTCCAGAAGGATAACAGTAAATTTTCATCTTCCGTTCTTACTTCCATGTTTATTCCTTCCTTCCTTTATTTCTCTCTTGCTTCGTACATAGAGCAGGGGACGGTGGTTTGTTATTTTTGAGTGTCAGAAGTGGAACTGCGTTGGGTCTTCACTGCAGTTACTTTTAGTACAAGATTACAAGATTTAGTTAAATCTCTATCACTTCCATATCCAAGGCATTGGTTATGAAAAGTAAGGACTGAAATAGATGCAGTTTGATGTTGCCCCCTGCAATCTCCAAATTTCAAAGCGACCTTAATCAAATAGGAAAGTAGCATTGACAATCAACAGAAGACGATCGTCATTGTGGGAACAGAGGGTGGT